CGTGTTTCCTCCTTGCAGCCGAAAGGAAAGAAGGCCAAGGGCAAGAAGGTGGCTCCGGCCCCTGCTGTAGTCAAGAAGCAGGAGGCCAAGAAAGTCGTCAACCCTCTGTTTGAGAAGAGGCCCAAGAACTTTGGCATTGGTGAGTAAGGGGCTGCTTGTGCTACATGCTCAAGTGTCTGTTTTAAGGACAAGTGTATAAATCATAAACAGGAGTATTGTGGTAAAGTGGAGAGAGCAGGGAAGGCGTTTGCTGCCTGCCATTAAGGGCTGTCCTTTGCTACCCATGTGAAGGTGGCTGTGGACAATCAGGAGACTTTTCCACGTTACAGGGATTAGTTGTGTGTTGGGATGAATCTCACCCTTTGGCGTGGGGTGTGGTGAATCCCCTGGGGTTCTGCTGAGCTCCTTTGTACGGCGTGCAGATGATGTGAAAGAATATTTGCTATCTGAGTGACGGTGCTGACAACATCACCACCAAGATCGCTGATGCACTCCTGCCTCTCGGTGCCCCTGCTGTGGGCGCTGGGGACAGCTGTGAGGCAAGGCCTGTGTTTGCAGGGCAGGACATCCAGCCCAAGCGGGACCTCACCCGCTTCGTGAAATGGCCGCGCTACATCAGGCTGCAGCGCCAGAGGTCCATCCTCTACAAACGCCTGAAGGTGCCTCCTGCCATTAACCAGTTCACTCAGGCTTTGGACCGCCAGACAGGTGAGGATGTGCTCCACAGCTTGCTCTTGGCTGGGGTTGTTAGTGGGGTATGCCTCAGAGAAGGGGAAAGCAGCCAAACTTAAGACGTACCAAAGATAAGCTGGGGAATATCTTTGGAAGCGTTTTAAGGGTTTAATGCTGACTGCTCCACAGCTTGCTCTTGGCTGGGGTCATTAGTGGGATATGTCTCAGAGAAGGGGAAAGAAGCCAAAGTTAAGACGTGCCAAAGATAAGCTGGGGAATATCTTTAGAAGCGTTTTAAGGGTTTAATGCTGATTGGGGTGATGCTCTCAGCAAGCTGCTGTCTGGATTTGTGGGGTTAACTCTTGGTAGCTGCTGGACACTTTGAAAAGGGAATAGAAGCCTACCAGTTCTCTATAACTCCCTGAGAGGAGGCTGGAGTGAGGTGGAGGTTGGTCTCCCAAGTAACAAGTGATAGGGCTAGAGAAAATGGGCTTAAGTTGTGCCAGGGGATGTTTAGATTGGATATAAGCAAGAATTTCTCTCCTGCAAGAATGGTGGGGTACTGGCCCAGGTCTCTCAGGCTGGTGGTGGAGTCACCATCCCTGGAGGGGTTCAGAAAACAGGTACACGTGGTACTTCAGGACATGCTTTAGTGCTTTTGGTGGTGTTGGGTTGGTGGTTGGGCTTGATCTTAGGAGTCTTTCCCAACCTTAATGGTTCTAAAACAACTGAGCTCCTATGTAATGACCCAAACCCAGGGTTCTCTTAACTGCATGTTTCCTTCGGAGTCCGTTCTTCCAGCTTGATAGAGGACCACGTAGGGTTCTTCAAACTGTGTGAACAGTTTGAGAGATCTGTGTGAGTGACTTCAGGGTCTTCTGTGAACTGAGTAAATAGTCTTTTCCAGGTGACACTATCTATGCAAGAAACGTTGAGCTTATGTAGAGTAACTCCCTTGTAGATGTTGCCAGACAAGTTGCTTGCTCTAAAGGATAAAGTGCACCAGATCTAACCCAAATTGCTGTGGGGGACCTCAGGCATGTCCTCATCCCAGCAGTGGAGGAGCTCTCCCTGCCAGCAGCGGTGCACACAGAGGTAAATATGGTCTCTGGAGGCCTCTGCTAGTTCTGTTCTCACCCTGTGCAGATGATGTTAACCTTTTGCTGTCTCAGTACACTTGATGACACCCACAACCACCAAGATCACTGATGCACTGCAGTCTGACAGTAACACTTGGGGGCTTGCAGGTCACGCAGCTAACTAACTAGTAGATGTTCTTTTCCAGCTACGCAGCTTCTGAAGCTGGCACACAAATACAGGCCAGAAAACAAGCAAGAGAAGAAGCAGAGGCTGCTGGCTCGTGCTGAGCAGAAAGCAGCAGGGAAGGGAGATGCGCCCACCAAGCGGCCACCAGTCCTCCGAGCAGGTGACGTTGTGTGGGCTCATTCACTTGTGTGTTCAGAGCATGCTGCCTTGCTAGGAAAGCCATGAGAAGCATTGGTGCTCTGCTCCAAGCAGGACTGGACAAGCTATTGCAGTGATGTTATGAATTTCTTCACCTGAGCTCAAAGTGAAGAGTAAAATAGACGAGCTTTTTAACCCTGAGCTTTAGCAAATTGTCCATGCAGTGTCTGTCAGTGTGCTGACTGGATGTGAAGAGTTTTCATGACTTCTCATAATGCAGCTGTGCTGTGGAATCTGAGCTGGTTGTATGAGGCTTATATGAACGTTCTGGAAATAGACTGAGTGGAATCAAAGTTTATCTATAAATTACTTTTCAGGTATCAACAGTGTCACCACTCTGGTGGAGAACAAGAAGGCTCAGCTTGTAGTTATTGCCCACGATGTGGACCCCATTGAGGTAAGCACACTGGAAGAGGACGCACAGAAGGAGGTATTTACCAGAACTGGAATACTGAGGCATGTTCATAGCTGTCCTGGTATCACAGTGCTGCTTGGCCCTTGCAATGATGTATGAATTTCTTCACCTGAATCAACAATGAAGAGCAAAACGAGCTTTTTAACACTGAGCAATTGCCACAGCCCAGGCTGGCAGGAGGAATCACAGATGTCCTCCCTCAGTCACACAGCACACTCCCTTTCTTTGCAGCTGGTGGTCTTCTTGCCTGCGCTGTGCCGCAAGATGGGCGTGCCCTACTGCATCATCAAGGGCAAAGCCAGGCTGGGGAGACTGGTCCACAGGAAAACGTGTACCTCTGTTGCATTCACCCAGGTTAACCCGTAAGTACTCCGTGTGCTGGCTTCATTCTCTGAGGGGGAGAAGGCAAACTGCCCCTGAGCACGGACTGTGGGGCAGCTGGATTACAAACTGGGGTCTCTAAAGTAGTAAAATGAAGCAAAATGCTGTCTCTGTAATATGGAACATAAATATTCTGTATTAAGACACCTGTTGTATTATAAAGATGCAGGTTCCTTTGGCTTACCAAGAGGAATCATTATCTACCATACGTAGATGGAACTATTAGTGTTAATCTGAGCAGTGCAGGTTCCTAACGTGTTGATGGTTGGGCTGATTAACCCTTGGCAAATGATGCTTCTGCTTAACCTGAAAAAACATGTTGCCCCTACAAGCTGTTAAATCCCAAGGCAAAAGATTTATGGACAATGTTAAATTGAGGCTCTAAAGGATCTGAAACTATCACCAACAGGGAGGATAAGGGAGCCCTTGCAAAGCTGGTGGAGGCTGTCAAGACCAACTACAATGACAGATATGATGAGGTAAGATCCTGTGCTGCTAGCCTGGCCTTCCCCTTCGTACTGTTACCACCCCCAAAAGCTTCCTAGTGAAGCACAGATGATTTTGGGTGTAGTGATTTCAGCCTGACATCTAAGCCTGTTGGGGGCATTGTACCTATGTGTGCTTATGTGTCCAGATGCTTACCTGAGGGTGGGGTAAAATGTGAATGCTGTCACTGAGTTCTGAGTAAACAGAGATATTGCAGGACTAGGATTCTAGAGAGGGCAACAGCTTCTGCTGGGCTGCACTCCATCCTCCCAGTCCAGAAGTTACATGATGGCTGAATCCAGCACCACACAGGAAGATTTTAAACTCTGTGCTGCCCTGAAATGCAGTTCACTGCTTGAAATGTGTAGGACTCTTCCTAGTTGAGGGAGCTCTTCCCCTTGTGCAGAAAGCAGTGGGATTGAGGAAGCTGATTGAATGTAGTCAGAAACTTCATGATGTTTGTAACCTGTTCTTGCCTCTTTGCAGATCCGTCGCCACTGGGGCGGTAACGTCTTGGGTCCAAAGTCGGTGGCTCGCATTGCTAAGCTTGAAAAAGCAAAGGCTAAAGAACTGGCTACCAAGCTGGGCTGAAGGTGTACTGGATTGCCACCGTGTTTCTGTACATAAAGAGAATAAACCCCCAGGTGAAGTTGCAGTGGTCTCTGTTAGTGGGAGTGTTCCAGGCAGCGGGTGGCACGCTGGGCTGGCGTGCATTGCCTCCCGGGGCTGGGGAGGGCAGGCTGATGCCCCTAACTGCTCAGCCTGTCACAGTTCCTCTCTGGACACAGGGCCCAGCAGCTCAGCTGCATGTGCTGTGTGACCATGAAGCTGAATGGGCTGGGCTAGTTCTGGCTGTGAGCCTCACTTGCTTCTGCAGGTGGCTCTCAACTGGAAATAGCTCTAGATCATCTCCTGTGGTACTGGGGCTTGGTTACAGGGAGTGTTCTGACACTGCTGGGCTAACCAGGTGGGGAACTCCTGAGGAGGGTAACAAGGGTCAGTGAAGCTGGCTGAAGTACAGAAGAATCTAGACTTTCTTGTGCTTTCTTTCCTAACTGCTGATGGTGTTTTGAGTAGCCACAGAGACCTGAATTCAAGGTTAGTCCCTGTTAAGATGTAGGATGCACAAGGCAAGCACCACTAGCCCTTTTTTATTTAGTGGCTTGAGGAAGGACCACTTGGAACAAAAATTGATTTACAAAAATCCCTCACAGTCTTTTGGAAAATACAGCAGTGGGGAAGTTAAAACTGTAGCTTACAACCAACCATGACAGAAAAAAGCATCCCCAGGATTTCTCTGGGAGTTGATTGATGCAGTATCTCAGAGCCACTTACTTACAATTCTGAAGTTCAACACTTCCAGCCAGAATCACACTGGGAGGAGCTCAGACTGCCAGAAGATTAAAGCCTGGTTGCAGCCTGATACCTGCACATTCACTGAACGAGCTGCCTGAAGCTCTGGGTGCTTCATTCACTGGGGGTGATCAGACTGCTGTCTTCTGTCACAGCCTGCCCTGGGCTGTAGTAGAGCAGAAATCAGCCCTTCCCCTCACAGAGGTATCTTCTGTATGAATTTTCTGTACCACATGAAGGAAGTTGCAGCACATAAGCCATACCTGTGAAGGGGAAACAAACCCACACGTTTGCACCTTCTTTTCAAGGTGCAGACTTCCCAATGTCAGCCACAATGCAATCGATTATTTCAAATAACCATAAAAATGTCCAAAAGCTTTTAAGTTAAAGCTTTTGGCTTTTGTAGCTTATTCAGTCTCCCTGATGAGCAAGAATTGGCAGTCAAAGATCTCCACCCTCAAGAACCCTGGGGAAGGTCAGTCCAGTGCTGGCCTGGTGACTTGGAATCATAGAATGGTGTGGTTCAGAAGGGACCTAAAAGATAACCTGGTTCTAACCCCCCTGCCATAGGCAAGGACACCTTCCACTCACCCAGGTTGCTCAGAGCCCCATCCAGCCTGGCCTTGGACACATCCAGTGATGGAGCACCCACAACTTCCCTGGGCAGCTGGGGCCAGTGTCTCACCACCCTCACAGTGAAGAACTTCCATCTCATCTAAATCTACCCTCTTGCAGTTTTAAGTCATTACCACTTGCCCTGTCATTTAGAAGCCCTTACTTAAAAGTCCCTCCTCATCTTGTATGCCCCCTTCAGATACTGGAAGGGCACAGCAAGGTCTTCATGGAGCCTTCTTTTCTCCAGGCTGAACAACCCCAATTCTCTCAGCCTGTCCTCATAGAGATGTTGCAGCCCTCTGATCAGATTTGTGGCCCTTGGGACACACTCCAACAGGTCCAGGACTTACCAGGTGACAATGTACTGCATGTGCTCGTTCCTCAGGCTCACCCTCGTCTGGCCTCCGATGGGCCCCCCTGGGACTGTGCTTCCTGCAGGTACAACAGTGCACCAGTTAAATCTGCAGCGTGCACCATGTAGAGCTGCCCTTGCTCTGAGGAACAGGAGGAACCTGCTCCCCTGCCTCGGGCAATGGTGTTCCCAAGTCACCAGCACAGCCAGAGCTGTGGGGCTGGTGGCCCTGCAGCATGTGGCTGGTTGTGTTCGAGGCATGGAACACCACCTGCACCTCTGCCACTCCCCAGCTGGCTGCCCATCACCTTCCAAACAGACCCAGCAGAGCACACAAAGAAGAGAAAGATGCCATACCTTGTTGGTCTTGATCACCAGAGAATCCCATCAAGGTCGGGGTTGGAGGGGACCTCTGGAGATCATCTCATCCAACCCCCCTGCTCCAGCAGCTCACCCACAGCAGGGTGCCCAGGATGGCATCCAGGTGGGTTTGGAATCTCTCCAGAGAAGGAGACTCCACAACCTTTCTGGGCAGCTGCTCCAGGCTTGTGCACTCTCACATCAAAGAATTCTTGCCTCCCATTCAGATGGAACCTCCTGGGTTCCAGTTTGTGCCTGTTGCCCCTTGTTCTGTCACTGGCCACCACTGACAAGGGCATGGCTCAACCCTCTTGCCCCTTGCCCTTCAGCTCTTGATCAGCATCCATCAGATCCCCTCTTCAGTCTTCCCCAGGCTAAACGGCCCCAGGGCTCTCAGCCTCTCCTCATCACAGATGCTCCCATCCCCTCAGCATCTTTGTAGTCTCTGCCAGACTCTCTCCAGTAGTTCCTTGATTCTCTTGGACTGGGGAGCCCAAAACTGGCCCAAATACTCCAGATGTCGTGGAGTAAAGGGGGAGGAGAACCTCCCTTAACCTTCTGGCCACACTCTCCTTAATGCACTCCAGGATCTTAAAGGCCTTTCCCAACCTAAATGCTTCTACAATTCTAGCTTTCCGAGTGCCATGGGGAGATAACTAACTGAAGGACAGGAGGGAGGGCAGTGTCAGCTGGATGTGGGGCTGGGTTCTTCTGGGACTTACTGAAATCTGCGTCGATGAAGACGGGCTCGGCGCCGGTCACCCTCGCCATGGCCTCCAGGTCCCGGTAGTGCCAGCGGTTCTTCTCAATGTTGTTTTCAGGCACAAAAGGTTTCCGTGTTTCTGATAACCTCACCACCCCCGTGAGATCAATTTCATCCTCAATCTGAAGTGCAGAGAAAAGAAAAAGGCATCTTTCAAGGTTCATTTCATAACAGCTCCTGGTAGAAAAACAGGATGCTGGCAGGGTCTGAGTATAAATCAAGTGGTTGTGCCCTGCAGCGGGGCAGTGCTGTGACACAGCAGGGAGAAACACAGATGAAGGACAGCTCCTTGTTTGTTACAAACAGCATTTACTTAACAAAAAGGCAGGAAGAGGTTTGCCCTCTTTGAAAGGTGGAATGACTATGATGCTGAACGTGGTCACTGCCTTTCTGAGATGGTCAGTGGTGCCTCTGGGTAATCCCAGGGCAGAGAGTGATCCCAAACGTTCCCTGTGTCCCCCTTACCTGTCCCTTCAGCCTCGTCTCTGGCTTCAATTTCTTTTTGGGCACAAATCCTCGGTTGACAAGAATCGTGACCCTGGAGTTACATAAAGAAGTATGGCTTGTGAGTGACAGGGAATTTATTCTGCTGCTGCCAAACTAAGTACTGAAGAAAGAAGCAACCCAGGTGTTTGGTGCCACTTATCTCCTAATAGGGGAATGTCAATACCATTTCAGACCAAGCCTCAGTGATACAAGACTGCCTACCATGATTCATTCAGCTTTTCAAAACAGGAGCATGTTGCTCACATGAGCCCTGACCTTCTCTGACTTACCCCAGCTCTGTGCAGTAGAAAGGAGTGACCACGTTTGCTCCATTCTCTGGGTGGGAAGTCAGCCTCCCAGCCTCTCTGGCCTCTCGCTCAGGGTCCACGAGTGACCGTGGCAGGATATAGAGCTCCTTGGAGTGGTCAAAATGCCCTCGGACCTTCACAGGTCTGTACTCCAGCTCCCTCAGTTCCACGGGGCTGCACGGAACAAGGTGAAAACGAAATCATGGATGCAACAGGCAAATCAAATCAAACTAGGGGATGTTATTGTGGGATTCTCTTTTTCCCTAATGGTTCACTCTAGAGCCAGTGGGCAAACAGAACAAGACAAACACCTCATCCAATGAGCATCTGGCTTAATATTTTATTACTTTCATAATGAATCAAATTGAGATGATTCTAAGTGTTCCCTAGTTCCAGTTCTCCCCTAGGATCTGCAATCCAGTGCTGCAAGTCCATGGCACACAGAGTTGACCAGGAGGTGGCTACACTGCTGATGTCGATACAGCTACAGCAGCTGCCTCCACCCTACAGAGTCATTCCCATCCCAGACCTTGAAATGGAACAACTGAACTGTTTTGATATTTGACACACTTGGAGCAGGGCCTGCTACTGATCCAAGACTCCTGTGGCAAGAATAATCCCATTGAATGCCACACACATCAGCTACCAAGTGCTCCTTCTGCAGGAGGATTGCATCTGGTATGAGCTACATACCACATTCTCCTGAAGAGAGACTTCTCCCTTCTACCTCCAGTTAGGGCATCCCATAGAGAAGCATTCACTTAATCTTTTAAAAAAAAATATTAACAGGATGTCTATATTTCTAAGTTTCTTGCACATCCTGGTCCCCATTGCATTCCTTCATTTTCATGCAGTTCATTGTAGCATAAGCTCATTAGTGCAGGATATATCTATCTATATCTATATCTATATCTATATTTATGTCTATATCTGTATCACATCCACAGCACAGTTTATTATCTACAGAGCACTGACAGTATCTCATTTTCCTTACTCTAATGTCAGAGGGATGGGCTCTGATTTAATCCTTGATGCCAGTTGTGCAATCAAATCTAATTTCCACTTTCGTCGCTGAACCTGAAAGTACACAAACAGAAAAGGAATTTCTTCTGGTAGAACAGAGCAATATAACAGCCCCAGCAAGGCTTCAAATCTGTGTCCTAAGTTTGTCCTCACAGCTAGCCAAAAACATGGTAACTGGAGATACAGAAATCCAGACTACTGACTTCAATTTCAGGAAATATTTATACTGAAATACAAGTGTAGACATAAATAAATAAATAAACGAATCTTTAAAGACTTACAAATGGACACCTGAAAAACATAAAGGTAAAATAACAACAAATCTTTACCCTGTATGTGATTTGAATTAACCAGCCAGAGACAGAAAAACCTCACAGCCCTCAAGTGCTCACCTCTTGAAAAACTGAAATACTTATTTGTACCTGCCAAGTGCCGAGACAGAACGTGGTCACAGGGACCAGGAAAAGGCCCCATTTGAGTAAGATGTCCTCTCCAGAGGTGTCAGCAGCTGTTGTAGAACTTCGTGGTCTGCAGAACCTCAAACAAACATCTAGAGAAAAACAGAACGAGCAACAGAATTTGTAGCAGAGAGATGCCAAATTCCTGCAGGAAATGTCATCTCCTGGTAAAAGGCTGAAACAGCAAATCTTTTCTTACCTTTAGTCTGCTGGAGCACACCAGAACCTGCTTTAGTTAAGGGATACCCAAAAAATGTTCTTCTGGTGAAGCAATGCACAACCTGCATGAAATAAAAAAGACCCTTTGTAGTGTCTCTGCTTTATAAAATTTGTATCTAGATGGTATCAATTGCCTCAACGATTGTATGAAATTTTCTTTACTGGTGGATTTAAGTCTCACCTGAGCAACTACCTGTGAAACACTATGGGTTAGGTTATAATTTTTAAAATAAGTTAAATCAAATTCCAGTTACATAGCACAGCAAATTATCTTTCCCCTTCCATCCACGCTATCAGCAAGCCGAGTTTGTTCTTGAAATAAAATAAAGCCAGCCGACCGCCTGCGCTCCCCACTCCCTCCCTCCCCGCCACGCCGGTGCGGCCCCAGAGCACATTTTCAGCCTTTTTTCCCCCGATCCCACCCGCTTTTAGCACCGCTTTGCCCCGCGCAGCGAGGCCGGTCCCCACACC